GTTTGTTCTCTGGTCCCTCAGCAGCTTCCTGGATCTTGAAGAGTAGTTACTAAAGCTAGCCACTTAATCTGACTCCCAAATCCCTGGATTACAATGCAGGCATCCATGCTCCGCCTTGCCAGGGTTGCAGAGGATCTGTGGCAGCAAAGACAGCTCACCTGGCTCAGCAGCTTCTCCACAACAGGCTTACTGTATGAGTACTTACTGTATGAGTCATCTGAGGAGGCTGAGCCTAGGACCAATTCTTGGGGGGGGGCGGGCTTCCAATAGTCACATAAGCACCTCACTTACTCTATTACAATTCCTTTATCTTTAGAGTATGTAGAAGAGTTCTCTCCCCTCCTCTTCCTCCTCTTCCTTCTGGCAGTACTGAGGACTGAACTTAGGACTTCATGCTTACAAGGCACTATTGCAATCAATCAGCCACATCTCCAGTCTGTTGGCTCCGAGTTTGTTTATAAGATAGGGTCTGGTACTTTGGCCAGTGCTGGCCTTGGACTGAGGTCCTCCTCCCTGCAACCTTCTGAGTAGCTGGGATTACAGTTATGAGCCACTGCACGGAGGGAGTTTATTTCTTCATTTATTGAGATAGTGTTTCATTATGGTATGCAAGCATTATCCTCCTGTCAGCACACACCACATGTGCCACTACTCATGGCTAGCTTCTGATTCTTGGACACAGTGTTTGGTACTCGAAGTGGGTGAGGGAAACAGACTCTCAAACTGTTAAATATGGAACTAGGGTTAAATCACTGACTGCTCTGGAATAATGGGATCCCATTAGCACAGAAGAACAAAACAATTACTTAAATTGCCTAGTAATTTATGAGTGCCTGGAATGAAGCTTATCAAACTGTGGGAGAGACCACCGTGATGGAAACAAGCACTGCTTCTGCCTGAAAGGAAGATGAAAGCTCTGTTGTCTGCAGTATCGGTTGAAGGCACAGTCGGAGGGTGGCCACGGACCCTTCACTAGGGTAATCTCACTGCTCACAGCTGCACGGCTCCCCAGGCTGATGGGCAGGAAGAGACGGCTGCTGTGAGCCGTTCAACTTGAGCGCAGGGGAGAAGTTCTACCTAGAGTCTCCATGCTCTCTGTTGTGAAAGCCAGGGCACTGCTGTAGAAAGCAACTGTCTGGGTAGATTCTCAGCGTGGGATGTGTCCATCTTTTAACTTTGTTCTTTTCCAACATCAGCATTGCACTGGCTACTGTGATAGCTTTGTCCCTCCAGACACACTTTAGAATCAATCTGTTGATATCCATAAAACAATTTTGAGATTTTAAGAAGAGCGCATGGAATCTATTGATCAAGCCAGGAAAAAAATCATCTCCACACTTGGGAAGACACAAATACTAAGGAGTTTTCTGTCTGGGAGATTTTGTTCTGGCTGAAGAAGCGGGTCCTTGCTTCCCTGGGGGTCATGTGTCAACCCATATTTCACCAGGAAATGAAATGATTCTAGTCTACCACCCTCTTCCCACCCACACACTCTCATCCACAGTATGGAAAGAGAGTCAGAATATAGCTATCCCAGCACACCCTAGGAGGCAAGGTGAAGTCTGACCCTGGAGGGAAAAACACTTGCCAAAAGAAGTGTAAAATATCACCCATTTGTTGTTGTTGGTAGATTTGCCAGATTAAAAAAAAAATAAGACAGCAGATTAAACTGGAGATACATGATAAATAACTGTTGGTGTGAATGCATACCAAATACTGTCTTGTTAATATTAAAAATGTATTCATGTTGATCTGAAATATAAATTTAACTAGTTTGTCCTATACTCCTCCTTCTCACCAACTCCTCCCCCAATCTAACAACATTTGTCATCAAAAATCTGGAAAAGTGGAATGGATCTTAAAGGTGTAGGGTGGGAAAGAAAGTGCTACATCAGATTTGTAACAAAATCGACAGTTTATCCATTTGACTATGCTAAAGCAAAGCATCTGGAGGCACTCTTTCACAGTGGTCCCCAAAAGGAAGTCCTCAAGCCAACAGACACAGTGTCACTTGGAAACTGATGAGGAATGCCAATTATCCATCCTCTGCCTTAGACCTGTTGAATTAGGAACTCCGGGCTGGGTCCCAGCGCCTTGATTGTAATGAGGTCTCCATGTTTTCTTGAGGAAAGTCCTTGAACGCTTCAGAGAGCACTTTTCCCTAATCTTCTGCACTGGGACTTTTACTAGACTAAGTATGCACAGAGGAAAGGAACATATCTAAACATCAAAACAAAACAACGGAGCCACAGCTCCACTTCTGACTTTGTGCTGGTTACTTGGACATAAGATTCTCACAGAGTTTTCTGCCAGAGCTGGCTTCCAACAGTGATCCTCAGATCTTAGCCTTCTGAGTAGCTAGGATTACAGGTATGCGCCACTGGTGCCTGGTCAGTCACAACATCTTAAACTTGGCTGAGCTCCCTGAGGGAAAACAAAAAGTGTGCATACCCCCGAGCCCGAGCTCCTCTGGAGATGTGCCCCTTCAGACCGCCACCCACAGCCTGGGCCCCTCTGGAGATGTAGAGATGTGGACCCTTCAGACCCCCACCCACAGCCTGGGCCCCTCTGGAGATGTGGAGATGTGGGCCCTCAGACTTTTCTGCCATGTGCTTTCAGCACCTTGTCTGTTACAGTTCAAGTGTTCCCCCCTCTGCCCTGGCTTTGGTGGCCTGTACTTTCCCCTTGTCTCTGTCCTGGTAGCCACCACTTGCTGCCCCACTTCTCAGTCTCTCCAGGGGTTGGGGCAGACATTTGCTCTGTGTCCTTGCTTCTCCAAGGAGAGTTTCTGGCTTTTCTTCGCTCAGCTCCCTTCTTGCCAGGGCAGCGTTGGTGTCTAAGCTCCTTCCATGTATACTTGGGAGCAGGGAGTTAGTTCTAGCTCTGAGATGCCCAGGGACCCAAAATGTGTCTATGTTCTGCACCAATCTGAGAGGAGGCTTTAGGACATGAAACTCAGATCTGGCAGACAGACAAAACTACCTGTGGGATTTCCTTTTGCTTTCTAAAAGCAGACCTCTGGCAATTGGCAGAATCTCTACATTGGGTTTCTGATCCTTGCAAAGATCCACAGAGATGGGTTAGATTCCCATCCCCAGTTCACCTCCACATCTGGCTTGGACTTCAGAAGGGAGTAGAAGGTCACAGTGAACTTAACCAGGTATCCACATCTGTCATGGTAAACTTAACACAGATATCCACATGTGTCCTAGTTCCTGGCACCTGACAGGCATTCACTGAACCAGAAAATGCTTTTATCTCTACCCCAATAAGCAGAGGCCACCTTCAGAAGTCATCTGGCAGGGATGCTGGTATACAACCACTGCCATCTAAGGATATAAACTTCCCTGGCTTTCATAATCCCAGAGGATATTGTATGGATGACTCTGGGCTGGTTGTACCTATAGAGCTTCAGGCAAGAGAAAAGCCTTGATAAGTGACGTGCATGCCAAAGAGAGAGAGGAAGAATCCATGAGAGAGAATTCATCCACCTGCCATCTTCAGGAAGCTTCTAAGGGTCCTAGGGCCTGGGTACTTTATAGACATTCTCTCTCTATCAAAGGCAAATTATGGAACTCCCCATAATTAAAATGGGATCCAAAGTCTGCTCAGCTTCTTCTTTTTTGCAGGTAACATTACAGAACATGTGTGCTGAACATGAGCAGAGTATCCGATAATGAATCTGATATAAGCAGGGCCCAGATGGAGGCAGGATGGACTAACTGCTCCAAACTGAAGCCACACAGGCCTCTGCTCTGGGGGTAAAGCACCAACAGGAGGTTCGAAGGCCTTGGAGCCCATGAAGCCCCTTCCAGGTTGGGCCTTCAGAGCTTTGTAGCAAAGCCATGTGATGTTCAGATGACATCTATTTTTGTTTGGAAAAAATTGCTGGGTTACCTCTGAAAACTGAGATGCTGGCCACAGACTATCCAGCCACCTCCACACACAGAGGGCTGCTGTCTAGGGTGCCTGGCTAGAAAGCTGGACTAGCATCAGGACACTCCGTTCTCAAATGGAGGTGATCTAGACAGTCATTTGAAGTGGTTTAGCTCTCAGGTGAGGAAGAAGCAGGTAGGCTGTAGTGACAGAGGGTCATGCCAGCCAGCCAGCGCACCAGCTCTCTCTCCTCCACTGCCACTGCTCTGATTTCTCCTTAAATTTTATCTCTGAGCCTGGGGGAGATTCTTATGACCAGCTGGCAGAGAAAGAAAAAAAAATCCAGCTTGGCTTAGCAATGGCTCCTCATGCTGATACCAGCTGGAAGTGATCTGCCAAGTTCTCGCTCCACAAAGGGATGACCTTGACAAGAAAGGGTCAAACTCTGAGCAGTCCATCCATCTGATTTTCTAATCTGTCACAGGAAAGATGCAAGACATAGGAGTTACACCAAGGCATAGGTAGTTCTGGATTGGCTTGGATGATGAAGGACATGGAAAATTAAAACCAAAGGATTTAATTTAAGGATATTAGACAGTGCTTGCAGAATGGATAATTAGCCTGAGGCAATTTGCATCCCACAGGTAAATCATGTAGCATGCACGACACACCAGCTTAGGTATCAGGGAATGGCACAGACAGAGGTATGACCTTGGAGATGGAGGTTGAGCTGCAGGCTGCAGAGCACAAGTTCCACCCCCCCCCTCTGGGGACAGGCCAACCTTGGCTTCCAAGTCCAGCCAGTGGTGGCCATTAGTGCACCACAGCCTTGGGACACCAGTCAAGACTGAGGCAGGGGTGGAGGACCGCTCCTTGGGAGAACAAGAGCAAGCTGCTTGCACTGTGGTCCAGTGATAGGAGGCGTGGCATGAGTGTCAATGCTCACAGGGCTCTGCCAGCACCACCACGTGTAGACTGTCCCAGCATCACCACGGAGCCCCGCACGACGCAGCCCCTGCTCCACCTCACCGTCCTGCAGGCGCCAAAGACCCGCCCCACAAGGCTTGTCGGCCTCACCCGGGACCCACAAGCCAGCCACGTTTCCAGCCCTTCATTCTACCTACCGAGCAAGTTAATCACTCCATCGTTGTAGCAAGCAAACAGTTTGATAAGATCTTTGAAAAGAAGCATAAATGCAGCATTGATGACACCATTTGTTAGTTCGTTTGGGTGCACCTAGAAAAAAAAAGAGGAACACTGACTTTTAGGTGGATATCATCCAATGGGTATTTCCTCCCAGATCACATGAAAATGTCTCAAATGCTAAGAAGTTTGCTTATGCTCTACAAATGTTGAGTAACTTTTAGCGTAGGCTTAATGATATAAAAGATGGGTTGCCTTCGGGGCTGGGAAGTTGGCTCAGTGCGCTTGCCTTGCATGCATGAGGCCCTGGGTTCGATTCCTCAGCACCACATAAGCAAAAAGAAAAAAGCCGGAAGTGGCGCTATGGCTCAAGTGTAGAGCACTAGCCTTGAGCTGAAGAGCTGAGGGACAGTGCCCAGGCCCAGAGTTCAAGACCACGACCGGACCCCCCCCCCCACCAAAAAAAAAAGAAGACGGGTTGCCTGTGTGTTGGCTTCAATTTAGGTCAATGAAGTTAGGCCCATGCATTAAAAGACTTAGGTTCTTTCTGGTTGGCCAGTGATGCGTAGGACAGACAAAGACAGCTTTTGAACAGCTGGTCTCTTGTTAAATTTACAATATGATATTCCCCCTATCTAACCGTGTCCGTGAATGCACACAGGCCCTGGGAACCTGCAGCGACCTCCATGAACGAAGAGCAGGGGTGTGAGGACCCCTGGGCGGCATGTCACTCAGGGCTGAGAGCCAGAGCTATTCTCTCACCCAACTCAACACCAGCCCGAAAGCTGTACTTGCTCCCCGCTCCCTCAGCCTAGTTTATAGCTCCTCAGTGTGTTTTTCCCCCCTTTGTGACTTTTGTCCTTTAACTCTGAACCCTTACTAAGGTCAAAGAAAACAAAGGAAATACATGACTAAGAAGCAAAAAAAGATAAGAAAAGCAATTCATAGAAACTAAGAAAGCCCTTACTATACAATCTGCCAAAAAACAATAAAATAGATTTCTACTTCTACTGAACTCTCACAAGAGTTAAATGTAAGGACTAAAACTCAATTATAGGCTAAACCATATAATCTCATGAAAGACGTTAAGCTACTAATATTTAAAGAAAGTGTTTTAGGCAACCACTAAAGTAAAGAAAAGCTGACAATGTAAGTTAAAAATTTCCCTACAAGTGGATTTTATTTTTGTGGATCAGATTCTTTTAATTTTGAGGTAACTGTAAATTTCTATGCAATTTTTTTCTTTTCTTTTGTTTCCATTTCCTGGAGTTTGTTTCCATATTATTTTGTATGATCAGATGCACATAGGCATTGCACCTTTGTTTTATATGCAGTCAGAAGGTAACAATACAGGGAAGTCATTTCTCCTGAGGGGGATATCACGTAACACCTTTACAAAAACTGTACTTTTAGAACCATAGCTGATCCTATCACAACCAGGACATAAACAGAATGACCCTGTCAGCCACTTGCATTCTGATCTTCTAGCTTTACTTGTATTCATTTCTATTTAGTTCTATCTGGTTTGCTCATGTAGAGAGTGACAATGCTGTCATATATAGTTTGCCCAAACAAAGACAGGAGACATGAGAGGCTGGCATTGGAGGCTTTTATGCCCTGTCCCCCACACCATGTAGAGAGTGTATTCACTATCAAAGCCCAGTATAGGCCTTGCTTTAAGAGACAAAACTCACAGCCAGTGCTAAGATAAAGAAACTTTGGTGCCTACCACCAGGCCCAGGTAGTTAGTGACCTTCAGATACTGCATCCTGCAAGCAACATCCTGCTCAGAACAGGAGGTTTCCAATGACACCAGCTCAGGAATACCGCACTGATCCTTTCCCTGTCACTTTTGTATGCACCTTGTACACTGCTGGCAAAATCTGAGGGACCAGGATTCACCCAATTCATCTCACCCGGGGAGCCTGCGGTGGCTTTCTGAGCTGTAGGCCACCACTGGAGGAAAGTCACAAGTGACTTCCGGGGAGATACATACATCAAATTCCAGCAGCGCATCAATCTGTCCCTGCAGTATCGGCATGCTCTTCAGCAGCTTCTCTGGAGCCATTGTTCTCATGACGCCATCGGCCCTGTGAGATTGATGCAAACCAAAGAGAAAGCGGAAGTGAAAGATGAAGCGTCTTGGCAGGTAGGAAATTCAAGATCTCATTCACGGTCCTAAGCTGGGCCCCTCCTCCATCCCCCGCCAATCTTGCAGGAAGGATGTGAGGTATCGAGAGATTGGGGAAGGGGTGCTGTTTCCTGTCTAGACTCTGAGTCCTCTTATGCCTTCTGGATGCTCAACCAGGCTATGCCTGCTCCCATCAGCACCACACATGGGGAGAAAGTGAAGCAGACTGAATGGAGTGAAACAAACAAGAAATCTATGTGGGTGCTGGCTGATCACGCTTGTAATTCTAGCTGCACGGAAGGCTGAGATTGTTGGAATTGCTGATTGCAGCCAGCCTGAGCAGAAGAGGTTCAAAAGATCCTTTCTTGAGAAGGGATTTTCTGGAAGGGGTGGTGTGCACCTGTTACCCTGGCTCCTAGGAAACCTAGCACGGGTGGACCACACCCAGTTGTGCACCTAGGCAGAGATGAGACCCTATTTTAAAAGCAATGAGCAAAATATCAGGGCTGGAGGCACGGTTCAACAGTAAAAGCACCTGCTTAGGAAAAGCAAGGCCTTGAATTCTTTTTTATCCCAGTACTTCCAAAACAGAAGTAAGAATGGTAAAAATGTAAGTTTTCTGAAAAGTCAATTAGTTTGTTTAGGAAATCATGCCTTCAAAGTCTACAGAATGTATCGAAGTGGGAGCAGAGCTTGTGTTATTAATCACCTCCTATGACAATGCTGTCATATATAGTTTGCCCAAACAAAGACAGGAGACATGAGAGGCTGGCATTGGAGGCTTTTATGCCCTGTCCCCCACACCAACAGGGTTCTCAGGGAGACTCTGTGTCCAGTGATGCCCATGGGGGAGGCAGTACTGGGGACATCAGATGTGCCCGGTGATGCAGGTGGGCTGGTGAGGCTTCCCCTTGGGTAGGAATGCATCCTGGAGCATCCTCCGAGGTCCACACATGAGACAGAGGTCTCGAAGAGCCCGAGGCTGCAGTGGACATGAGCAATGGAGGCCACAACCATGGGAGAATCCAGAGGAAGGCCTGTGACCCAGAATCACTGCTAATGTGGAAGGGACGAAGGGGAAAAAACCCTAATTTCATGAGGCATTCAGCCACAGGAGCCTGGTTTACTTTGAATAGGTAAGTTGATATTTTTCACCACCATAATGGAAAAAGTGGTCCCAAGTTAAAGTCAGGTCATGGTTCATGTGAGTTCTTAAAACTAAAACACTCCATCTTCTGCAACACTTAGCCAGTATTTTAGACAGACAATCAGCACAAACTTCGGTTGAACACTTCCAACAAGATTCTAACATCTATTTAGAAGGAAATAAATGGCAATTAGGATTAAAAATTGAGGGTTTCTGTTTCAATGAGGTTTTTATAACCAAGAGATAATATTTTAATCAGCTCTGTGTGTGTGTGTGTGTGTGTGTGTGTGTATAGCATTCCTTTCAAAACCAGATCTCCACATCATACGGGTTCCATTTTCAGCTCAAATAAAACACTCTTCATAATCAATATACTTTTTGGGGGGAGGGGCATGGTGTATTACTGGGGCTTGAAAATCAGGACTTTGCTCATACTCTCGCTTGTTTTTTACTTCAAGGCTGGGACTCTACCACTCGAGCCACACTTCTGTTTCTCACTGTTGATTCATTAATTGGAGAAAAGACTTCTCTGCCTGGGCTGGCTCTGAACCTTGGTCCTCAGCCCCCTGAGTAGCTAGGATGACAGGCATGAGCCCGGCTGTAACCACTATCCTTTTTTAAAAAAATAAGCCTCATTAGTTTTCTACCTTTTATACTACTTAAAGGTGTTAAAATTCTATACCACATACATTCTGAGCAGCAAATCATGGACAAGGAAGTAACATATTGCAGCCTCAGACCTGTCGTGTGTATTTGTTACTTATCAAACTTCTTCAGGTGATCGCACACTGAGCCTTCATGATCAAAACCAGCTGGCCTCTATGCTGAGCTGAAGCAAGCATGCTCTGAGGGCCTGTTCTGCTCAAAGGAATGCAAGAAAGAAAAAGGAAACACACCCTTTCTTCACTCTGGCAAAGTCAAATGCCATTTGTCTATAAGAGAAAGCCTTTTCATTCAAGTATCTACTGTAGCGCCTTATGAAGGTGGACATATCGTAACCTGGGGAAGAAGAAGAGGAGATAAGATGAATCAACAACATGCTTTCAATAGTGATTTGTACTGTACACATGTTTAGCTCCCCAAGTTATCTATAGAGTTCTAGGAAGAAGTCAGTAACTGTATCAGCGGGCCTTACTGAAAAATCCTACTTTTGGGTGAAAATTCTTTTTGCATGGAGCTAAACTGATGAAGAGTTGATTTGGTATTGTCCTGTCCCCATTCAAATGTCTTGTCTGCTTTCCCCTGCACTTTTCTTGCTCATTTCATGTAATAGCCTCTTAGTATTTAATACATATTGTCATCTGATAGTGGTCTACTGTGTGAGGTGCTTGCCTTGCAGTTACAACCCTATTACTCTACAAAGAGAATTTATGACTAGAAGTACTAGAATTATTATCATTTTTACTGGCCACAGAATTTGAACTCAGGGCCTGGATGCTGTTCCTGAGCTTTATTGCCCAAGGCAAGGCTCTACCACTTAAGTCATAGCGCCAGTTCTGGGTTTTTTTTGATGGTTAATTGGAGATACGAGTCTCACAGATTTTCATGCCTGGGCTGGCTACAAACCACAATCTTCAAATCTCAACTGCCTGAGTAGGTAGGATTACAGGTGTGAGGCCCAGCGAATGGAATTAATAATTTGAATGGCATCAGGTATGGTGGCTCATGGCTATAATCTTAGGTAACTGAGAATCAGGGACTAGGGAATTGGGGTTCAATGCCAGCCCAAGCAAAAACAACAACAACCACAACAAAACCCCCCAAACAGACCTCATCTCAGCAAAAAATATATGGTCAGGGTGACACGAATCTGTTACTCTAGCCACAAAGGAGTATAAAAGAGAGAATCACAATCCAGGCCAACCTTGGCAAGGAAAGCAAAAATTTGTGAAAGCAATAGGGGCTGTTTCTGTAGTTCAAGTGATCAAGCACCCGCCTGACAAGTATACATGCCAGGCCCTGAGTTTGAATCCTAGTATCACTGATATAAAATCGATGGTTTTTTTAATTCCATTGTCCACACTATCTTCATAAACAAACTGTGGATCTAAGGAACACTGCTGCTTTCTTAGGTGAACATTTAAAATGGCAAAAGTAAATTTAATCTATGTTTTATAGGCTGAGTTATCTGTACAATCAACTATTTTACGGTTTCTTGTATATAGTATTTTATTAACCATGCAATGTACCTCTCAATTGCAATGATTTTTGGATTATTAATCACATGCAAAACTTAACAGTTTTAACAATGTATGCATATGTGTGCATACATATGCGTGTCCATACATATTTATGAATGATAAAGCTCAGGGACAGCATCTAGGCCCTGAGTTCAAGTCCCAGGGCTGACAATAATAATAATCCCAGTCATGTGTATACATACGTATGCAAATATGTATGCACACACATAATTTAAATAGTTCATGTATAATTTAAATATTCTTACCATGGGATCCACTTTTGTCCAAAAAGTTGCTGAGATTAAATAGTGTATTTCTAGAGGCCAAATACTGAATAAATCTCTGAAAAACAAATAATTAGAATTAAGCATCTGTATTCTCAAACATACTTCTAAGCCACTTCTGACTTTAAGGCAAACTTTATCGAGATTTCCATCGTGAGCCCTCTTGCCTAGTTATGGACTTCCTCTTTCTCTGACTATAACACTCAACACTACCAACTCAGCGAAGCACATGCAAACTGGGGACCTTCAACTTCACACACAACAGAAACACTGCACATTCAACCGGAATCAGTAGGTATTCCATATAAAAGGAATGATTTTATCAATATTTTCCCAAACTAAGTACTTTATGAAAGCAATTGTCTCTCAAAGGCACAAAGGACCATTTTCTATGAGGAAAATAGTCTCACTCTTTCTCCTTCCTTTAGGCTGTTGCTCACTAATAAGTTTGTACAGTATATGCATTTTAGGCACCGGTAATGATTAATAGCTCAATCTCTCTAAGACAAAGTCTAACTTAATATATTTTTTAAATAGGTAAATCAAAGATTAAAATTACACCATGGATGATATGGAAGCACAGATTCCCCCCCCCCCTTCCTTTTTGGCTCATTAGTGAAAATTCAAAGGATCTTAAATCATCACCATATTCTTCGGTTGATGTCTCCCTCCTCCACCAAAAGAGATAGCAGAGTTGCCTCATTTTACCTCATTTCCATGCACCATGAGATGATGTGTTGTCACCAAGGCTTTGAACACAACCACCCAGCTACTATTGGTTGCCCGCTCAAAGAGCGTGTCTGCCATCTGAGGGATATTAACATTGGTTTCGTTGGTTGCCTGGATCAAATCTGCAACAACAGAAGATCTTCATAAATTGTTATATTTAAAAAAAATCCCCCCTCAAACATTAACCACTTAAACCTCTTTACTAAAATGTGACTTTGAAATCACTCAGCGAACGGCCAATTAAAAAATTAAGTCAGGTGCCAGTGAATGATGCCTGAAATCTAGCTACTCAGAAGGTTGAAAGCTGGAGAATCAAGGTTAAATTATAGCCTGTGCAGAAAAGTCCATGAGGCTCCATCACCAATTAACCAGCAAAAATGGTGGACTGGAGGCCTGGTTTAAGTGACAGAACACTAGACCTGACCAAAAAAGTTGACTGAATGTATGAGATCTTGAGTTCAGGCCCCAGAAACAGCAAACACACAAAAAATAAACAGTATCTTTATATATGGACATTTTTAGTACATTATTTAACTAATGTATTTTTATTTTTTTGCAGGGACTTGAACTCATTGCATCAAACTTGCTGGCTGGCTTGCTCAGCGGATGCTCTACCACTTGAGCAATGCTTCCTGAGAGTTTTTTTCTTCTGTTCTAGAGTTTTGGAGATGGAGTTTTGAAAACTTCTCTGCCCAGGTTGGCTTTCAACCTCTGTCCTTATTTTAGCTCCTGAGAGGGTTGTATAAGCCATCAGCACTTGGCCTCACTATTAAAACTTGGCGTAAAAATAGCTTTTCAACTGAATTCTCTTCTACCTCTTCCTGAATTTTATATTTGCTAATATTGGGGCCTTTTTTGTGCAAATGATGAACTGCAGGAGAGCTAAGCCTCCTGCTCCAAGCACAATGTCTCAAATGTAGCTGTCTAGGCTAACTATACCACCATGTGGGAGAAAAACATAAACATATTTTTGAGACAGGTGTGCTTCCCTTGGATATTAATATTCAAATATGTTGGTAGATATAGTTTCTAGACTAGGAGCAAATAGTATGTTCATCAAAGCTCTTGTAGAATACAAAGCCAGTGTTAAGTTCTGATAATTTTGACCTGAGTTTCTAAGACAGCATGGTCCGTATCTTCACATGAGTACAACTCCAGGTGATTGGGGTTTCATAAAGTTCCAATAGGGCATTCTCAGAGTTCAGAAGATGTGCTGAGTGTGCAATATGTTAGCTGGTGCTCAGGAGCAGAAGCTGAGTCACGCTGGGATGGGGTGCACAGCACAGCTGACTGCTTCAGAGCAGGAGGCCTCACCTACCCGCCAGAGACCCACAGGAGGCTCTGCAACGCCCCTTCCCCCTCCCCCCATCCCTCCCCCCCCCCCCCCCCCCCCCCCCCCCCCCCCCCCCCCCCCCCGGCTCAAACTCACTCTCGCACACACACACACACACACCCACTGGTAACATGCGAGCTGCACACCTGATCCATGCGTTTCTCTATTTCACAATACATAAGGCTTACAAATGGATGAGCTAGCCCTCAAGCAATTTTTAGTGCTTGGACTGAAGGCTAGGTATCATTGTTCCAAACCAAACCAGGCTTATACTTCTGATTGGTATGTACTTCAAAATTGCAGTCATCATCCTTATCCTGACTATAACACTAATTCCCCCCATACAATATGTTCCCCATCATTTTTCTTTTGTTGCATTCCTTATGTCCTTCAGCCAGCATTCCCTGATCCTTTCCAAGCCTCACCTGACTCCCTGCACTTGGAAATCGTTTCACTACTAGTTCTGACTAATGCACAAGCACCACACCCAAACACCTAGAAGACGGAAACACATGCCAGCGCTTGTCTCCTGGGCAGTGACCCCAAAGCCTGCACACCATAAATGCTTACTGAGCAAATGAACACGAAGCACACTTCACCCAGAGACATAAGCAGGCTTTGGAAACAGAGAAATCTGTGTCATCATACTGTTGCTAACATGATATCGTGGCACTGTATTTGATTTGAAATTCTGTGCCAGTCCCAAAGTCTTCTGTTCTATTGTTTATTGAACTCCAAGGTGAAGATATAGGGGAGATGAGAGAGGATCAGACAACACTAAAATCTCTCCGGGAGACAAGAGGAGAAAAGCAACACAGTAGAGCAGAAAGCCCAGACCAGAACCCAGCGCAGCCCTGACCAGATGAGTAATTCCAGGCAGATTATTTGATGTCTTTGCCTCAAGCATCATTTTTAAAATGGGTAACAATTACTACCTTTCAGAATGCTACCAAGACCACAAACTATCTGTAAGTGCTCAAAGTAACTTTTTGTAAGTTCTGTTGCAGGCATATTACATTTTGAGAATTTAGGGTGAGGGTGGTATTAGGAAATTCTGATTGGGACCCTGAAGTAATCTATAAAATAGGGCAGGAGTGAGGACTTTTCTTGGGAGTGGTACTGGGGATCGAACTCAGGACCTTGTACTTGCTAAAAAAAAAGTGCTGTACCAGTTGAGCCGTGTCCTAGTTTGTCAGATAAGTTTTCTTGCTGACATTGCACAGGCTGGCTTTGGACCCGTGTTCTCCTTCTTCTACTTTCCAAACAGCTGGGATCACAGGCACCCAATACCACATCAGGGCTGGCAAGAACATTTTAAACACAAAAACAGATACATGCAAAGAATGGATCCTTAAGAGCCGTGTGTTTGGAGAGCCGTGGCGGTTGGTGAGGAGTGGGTGGGAGAATGGCCAGTGAGGACTGTCCATGTCACACTGAAGAATGTCACTTCTTCCTATGGACAAAGGAGCCCATTTTAGTCTTTTAGGAAAAAATTACCAAGTAGAATTGTCTTTTTGCCAAGCACCAGTGGCTGGTGCCTGTCATCCTAGCTACTCAGGAGGCTGAGATGTGAGAATCGCAGCTCGATGCCAGCCTGGGCAGGAAAGTCTATGAGACTCTTATCTTCAATTAACCACTAAAAAATCGGGAGTGGTGCTGTGGCTTAAATGGTAGAGTGCTAGCTTTGAGTAAAAACACTCAGGGACAGGGCCCAGGCCCTGAGTTCTACTCCATGACCAACTTAAAAAAAAAGAAAAAGAAAAAGATTTGGCTTTTACTGTCAACTACCTTATAAAATGCATACTAAACACAATCGGCAAGACACAGCAGAAGCACAAGTCAAGAACCATCGATCTCTGCATGAAAAGTATACCAGAAGATAGAAAGACAGGAAGCCAGGCAGCCCAGCTGAGCTGAGCTGAGCTGGAATGGGGAAGAGCAGCAGAGATTGCAAAGGAGAGACAGGAGCTTTAGAGGAACTGGACTCACAGGTGGGCAGGTGAACCTGAAATCTGCCAGCCGGATTTCTGCTTGGAGGCAGGGGTCCAGCCAACGCTATTTTTGGAAGTTGGCCTCAGGTGGACCTATACTATTTTAGAGATGATAAACTTCAAAGTGCTGTTGGAGATAGAAGTGGCGAGGTCTGATAGGGAAGCAGAAACATGCTGAAGTGGAAATGTTCTGAAGCATTTTGGTCCATATACAAATCTGGGAGTTATCAGCAATCAAATGGGAACTGGAGTTATGAGAAGAGAGAGGTCACATAAAAAGAAAAGTGTGTATCAGAGCAAAGCTAAGCAGGACCAGCATGGGTGATGAAAATGGAAGAAAGTGAATAAAAGAACAAAGTGATACAGAGGAGCCCAGAGAAGTGGAACAATGGATTAATTAAAGAGAACTTTAAGACGTTCAAGAAGAAATTCGAAGTCCCCAGAGCCAAACACTGCCCACAGTCCTGTTTGTCTGAAACAGAACCGACATGCCAGGCTGAACAGACTTGTGGGCTTGACATCAGGAGGAGGAAGGGTCCAAGGGAAAGGCTGTGTGTTGTTTAAAGATGGGTGGTATTTAAGCATGTTTCAGGTCAAATAGAAAAGGTCACAAAGAGGGGAGGGCTAACGTCTGGAAAAATCTAGAGGCAGGATGCGCTGTAGAACCCAGGGCTTAGAGGTCGAGGCCACAGAATGAGGGTGGATAAGAAGGTGTGCTGTAGAGAGAGAAGAAGCCATTATTCTTCTGAAAAAGAATGTCTTCCTGGAGGCAGTGAAGTGTGTTCATGCTACCAAACCATCCTCAGTATGAGTTTTTCCTGGAGAGGAGACGGTCTCGCTGTCTACTCGGACTGGCCTGTACCCTCAGGCTCCAGGGATCCTCTCTCTGGCCTGAGCCTCCCAAAGCAGCAGGGACTAGAAGTGTGAGTCACTTTACCGGGCTATGGTCATCTTTATGTGACAGGTTGCCAAGCTACAGCTTGCTCAGAAAATCAGGCATGCTTCTTCTTTTCCTAATGTCTTCCTTGCATACAGACGGCCATGTTTGCTCTGAGCTCAACTGAGCCCACACAGATGCAGTGACACAGCTATCACAGCTCACTCCCCAGACTTGCTGCTTTCAGTTATTTTCCATGTAGCCCATGAGTTTTGTGTAAATCAACCTTCAGTGATCCTCCTACTTCTCTACCTCAAGTGTCACCAGGATTACATGCACACACAGCTTTCTGATTCAGTGGGGTCTCCCTAACTTCTTTCCTTGGCTGGCCTCGTACTGCTGTCCTCCAGATCTCTGCCTCCAGTGTAGGTGTGAGCCATCATACCTCGCTTTCCCAGCCGGAATTCTGAATGTAGTAAATATTTCATGTAAACAAAAGCACTTTAGAGTCCCTCAATTACTTAAGAGTAGAAAGGAGTCCTGAGGCTGGTTTGTGAACTATAATTTTTTATACCTACATACAAACAGAAGAGCTCAGTTGTCGGCTATGCACACATTTATTTTGAGATGTTTTAACCTAGAGATAGCATCCATTTATGTTCTCTCTAGAGTATACATTTTCTTTCCTTTTCCTTTTTCTTTTTCTTTTTGTTGGTCGTAGGACCTGACCTCTAGGCCTGGGCACTATGCCTCAGCTCTTTAGCTCAAGGCTAGTGCCCTACCACTTGAGCCACAGTGCTGCTTCTGGCTTTTTCTGCTTATGTGGTGCTAAAGAATCAAACCTAGGGCCTCATGCATGCAAGGCAAGCACTCTACCACTGAGCCACCTTTCCAGCCCCTAGAGTATACATTTTTCTCCTG